GAATTTTCAAATTTCCGTGAATACCTCCTCGATTTTCATGTTCCCCTGATACTTTTTCAGGAGGAGGAGATATCCACTGAAATTTGAAAATTCTAAATTGTCAAAAATGTATCAGGGGGGCATGTCGCGCCCTCTCTCTCTTAGAGTGAGGTACTACAATGCCGATGGGGTCACTCAAACCCCCAGAACTGACCCTCTTCTTTAGTCAACCCTCTTTCCTGAGAACTGTCAAAAAAATGTTGCCAATCATTGAAATCTCTGCGGGTCAATTAAATCGAATGGCCCGAAAATAACAAACATTTTTTTCTCAAAGAAAATAAAAAAAACATAAATTCCCACTTACAAATCAATAATGGCAAGTAAAAAGGGTGCCACATTGAGAATTGAAAATGAGATTGATAAATATCGAGGGGAAGGCAACTGGAAGAAGGTTATAGAGCTCGCTGATCATTTACGAGAATTATACCCCAATAATGGTAAATCCTATTATTCTCATTAATTTTTTATTTTATATACATACATAAGCTCTATCTATCACCAGCTAACTATCGGTATTTGAAATTCTCATTTTTAGAATGTCTGGCTAATTTTTTGAGCGGTGAGGGCAAGCTGGAGAGTTTTTTAGAGCAGACACCCCCAATTGATGCTAATATTACGAAAGCCAAGTCTGGACTTGTTGAGGCTAACAAATACCTACTCGCAGCTGCTAACGAGCGTGATAAACAGGTGAACATTTCAATCAGTCATTTTTAGGATCTGATTTTTCATGTTTAATGCTGACGTGAAGTCTAAAGTCCTCCATAGCTGTTGGCAATTCGAATATTCAACTAGGATTATCATAAAAAAAAGGGAAATGACGAGAGTAGATGGCATGTAGACTCCTTGATGTATATATAAATAAATGTGTTGTACAGGTGAAAATTCACTTGAACCAATTCAACCTTTTTACAATAGAGCTTGGACCTGTATGAATTTTAAGGCCCGGATGAACTGTCTGGAAAAGATAATTTACTCCAAAATTGGGACTTCTAATTACTCCGTCAATTAATCGTTTTTTCCGATAATTGTTAGCTATCGGCCTAGTTGTTGACAACAATTATTGAAAAAAACAATTAATTGCCAAAGTAATTAGGAATCCGAATTTCGGAGTAAATTATCTTTCCTAGATAATCCACCCGAGCCTTAAATATTTTCCAATAGTTTAACAGTGATAAAATACTAAATCTTTTGTAATTTTTCCTCTCGATTTTCGAAGGCAATTGTCGTTCTTGATGCTCATCTGCTGCTTGGAAAATTGCATTACGCAATTGGGCTCTACGAGGAAGCTCTCCATCATTATCAACAAGCTGAACTCCATACATTGACTGAGAAGCAGTTGCCCAATC